GGAGGTTTACGTCGATGATATTATAGTGAAGAGCCTGAAAGTAGAAGACCACCTAGCTAATCTCGATGAAACATTCAACAACCTCAGAAAGAACAGAATGCGGTTAAACCTAGCCAAATGCATCTTCGGTGTGGAGTCTGGGAAATTTCTAAGCTTCATGGTTTCCCAGAGAGGGATTGAGGTCAACCCAGAAACGATCAGAGCAATTGCCGAGATGGAATCACCGAAGCCGGTGAAAGGTATACAGAGATTAAATGGAAGGGTGGCAGCTCTTCATAGATTCATATCGAAGTCAGCAGATAAGTGCCTGCCATTTTTCAAGATTATGAGGTCAGCAGCCTAGAAGGATGAATCTGGCAAATAGAAGAAGTTTGAATGGAACCAAGAATGTCAAGTTGCATTCGATGAGCTGAAGTCTTATCTTAACTCACCACCTTTACTAACTAAGGCTATAGATGGAGAAATTCTCTATTTATACCTCGGTATTTCAGACAAAGCAATTAGTTTAGTTTTGGTGAGAGAAGAAGGCAAACAGCAGAAACCAATTTATTATATTAGCAGCGTGCTGCACGAAGCAGAACTTAGGTACCCTATTGTTAAGAAAGCAGCACTAGTAATTTTCACTTCAGCTAGAAAGCTGAGGCCATGTTTCCAATCACATCCAATCATCGTCCTCACAGACCAACCTCTTCGACAGATCCTGCAGAAGCTGGAGTGCTCTGGAAGGTTAATTAAGTGGGCAATAAAGCTAGGGGAATTTGAGATAACATTCTAACAAAGGTCTGCGATTCGAGCTCAAGCACTTACGGATTTCATCGTGGAATGCACCCCATGTCACTTAATCCATAACTCCGAGCCAAGCAACTGGACCTTATATTTTGATGGAGCATCTAGTAGCAAGGATTCAGGAGCTAGTGCTTTCTTAATTAGCCCGGATGGATATCGAAGTGAGCATGCTCTAAAATTTAACTTTGATGCAACAAACAACATGGCTGAGTATGAAGTTCTGCTACTTGGTTTACAACTAGCATTGGAGTTGAAGTCATGGCGATACAAGTATACAGTGACTCGCAGCTTGTGGTTAATCAAGTTAACTCAATCTACGAAGTTGTTGATCCTATGATGATGAAGTATGTAGCCCTGGTGGCTAAGCTAAAGTGCAAATTCCAAAAATTTTGTCTAAACAAAATTCCCCGAACTGAGAATGAACAAGCAGATTCACTTTCTAAGTTTGCCTCTGATAGGTCTTTAAGTTCCAGATCAGTTTTTTTGAAAGTTTTAGATGGACCAAGCTTTATGAAACCACGAATGATGGAGATCAGCACAGACCCGGATACACCAAGCTGGACAAATCTAATTATCTCTTTTTTACAAGACAGGATAGTGCCTAAAGACAAGCAAGAGGCAATGAGGTTGAGGAAGAAAGCGTCTCGATATACACTCGTCGATGGGGTCCTCTATAAGAGATCTTTCTCACTCCCTCTTTTATGGTGCTTGAATCCTTATGAGGCTCAGTATGCACTTCGAGAGATGCATGAAGGTGTATGTGGAAGCTACATTGGTGCTAGAACCCTAGTTCACAAAGTCCTTAGGCAGGGATATTACTGGCCGAATATGTATAAAAATGCTACTCACTTTGTTCAGAAATGCCTGAAGTGCCAATTCTTCGCACATTTGACTCACCAACCAACAAGAAGACTCACCAACCAACAGAAGAGCTCACCAACTTGGTAGCACCATGGCCATTTGCTTAGTGGGGACTTGATCTTTTAGGCCCATTCATGAAAGGGGTTGGAGGTGTAACCCATCTGATTGTTGGATTTGATTATTTTACGAAATGGGTTGAAGCTCAACTATTATCCAGCCTTACTTCCAGAAAGGTCGAAGACTTTGTTTTTGGCTCAATTATCTGCAGATATGAGACCTCAAACCAAATTGTGGCCGACAATGGTACTCAGTTTAATTGCTCCTCCTTCCGAGATTTCTGCTCTAGTTATGGGATCAAACTACAGTTCACCTCGATTTATCATTCGGGGTCCAATGATATGATAGAATTTGTTAAGAAAGCTATCTTAGAAGGAATAAAGCCGAGGTTGGAGCAACGCAAGGTCAGGTGGGCAGATGAGCTCAATAATGTCCTTTGGGCATATAGAACTACGAGCTGAACTGTCACAGGTACTATTTCTAACCCAAGATACTTTCATTCTATTTTTATTTTCTCACCTGCGGCTATACCCTAGATCAAATATACATAATATGTAAAGCATATTCTAAAGACTATAATTTCATGAAATAGGTGAAACACCCTACCACCTGGCCTTTGGTACTGAAGCAGTCATTCCTATTGAAATAGGAGTCCCAAGCTTCAGGGTAACCCATTTTGATGAAGGACGAAATGGACAACTACTTAGGGAAAACCTTGATCTACTTGCCGAAGTCAAAGAAGAAGCACAACTTCGAACTCTTGTATACAAACAGAAATTAGCCAACTTCTACAACAAACGAGTCCGACCTCGAACATTTAAAGTAGAAGACCTTGTTCTCAGAAAGGTTGGCCTAACAAGGTTTGAAACTCGTTTTGGCAAACTGGCCCCAAACTGGAAGGCCCTTATACGGTGGCTAAAGTGCCACATCCTGGTGCCTATATCCTCCAAGACGCTGAAGGGAAGAGAGTTCCTAGAGTCTGGAATATCAATAACTTGAAGAAATTTTCCCCCAAATAAACTTCTTTCAAGTGATCTATGTCTTATTCTCCTTTATACTTATTACTTCTTCATTGTTGAGATTCATTTCATCTTTTATTCTGTATATCCGAGGTCAATTTATTTAGAATTTATTCCTTGGACTTCACTTTTATTAATGAATGTCACTTCACATACGAAGTGATTTACTTCTTTTCAGTTCATCTCTGAAATGATTTACTGCTCCTTAAGTCATATCTGAAATGATTTACTTCTTTTCAGTTCATCTCGAAAATGATTTACTTCCCCCCAAGTCATATCCGAAGTGATTTACCTTATCTTAGTTCTTATATTAATATAGAACAACGAAAACGTAAAGCAAGTATTACACATAATTGTAAAAACAAAATTTTTCATTAAAAACAAATAATAAAATTACAATCTATTCAATTGCTCCAATGTTATCAAATAAGAAAAATAAAAAAACAAAAATTCTTTATTCCTCTGTTGGAGTAGGTGGCTAAGTTGGCTGCTGCTTTGCTGGAAGATGCGGCTGCTCATCATCAGAAGGAACTAGATGGACTTCCACTTGCAAAGGTGGCTGACTTTCATCCACTTCAGCTCCTCCCACTCCTGCTCCTACTTCAGTTTCCTCTACCTTTGCCTCTTCTTCCTCCACTGCCATGAACTCGAAGTCGAAATTTGGAGAGAAAACGGTGCGTCCTTCTGCATCATGATCCCACCTCAGTTTAATCTAATGATGGAAGTTTGCTAACATGCTCTCACCGTTTTCCTCCACTCCTTCCTCTTGTTTACCGAAGTTGATCTTCATAATATCCACTTCGGGATATTTAGCTTTCACCTTCTGTCTGCAATCAGTGGAGGCAAGAATAGCAATTGGCAACCAATAGAGGTTGACAATGTTGTTAAATGAGCTGGAGCTGACGAAATTGCTGATATGTTCCTTCATCCCGTTGTGTACTAGCAACTTAATATTCTTCTTCAATTCCACCACAGCTTTTTTCATCATTCTTATCTCCTTCTCCTAAGTCTCACGCTCGCTTGCAGAGATCCTTCTCTTTTTCTCTTCAAAGACTAGCTTGGTACTCAGGGAATCCTTCTCCTACTTGAGCTGCTTCACTGCTGGTACCACCTCATCCAGCGCCTCTTGCAGGTCCTTATTCTTCCTCTCTAGCTCATCCTTCTCCTTCTACAATTACTCACACTACCTCTGAAGAAGGGAGCGATCCTTCACGCTTTCCATAAATTCCTGGGTTAGACCATTCACCCAGCTCACACTCTGCAATTCAAGCAAAAGTCAAAAAAAAAAAAAAAAAAAAAAGAACAACACACCAACAATTACAAATAAATGAACTTAATATACCTCCAGAGCATGCTTCACCACAATCGCCCCACAATATCTCAGAGCCTCATCCCTCGCTTGACGCTTGTCCACTTCGAGGAAGGTTGCATTAATAAACCTCCTTGCCCTCGTTGTGGTCTTCACATCAAACAGGCTGCTCTAAAAGGACAATGGGTGAATGAGGCCTTTCCCTTTGCCAGGAGCCCTTACCTCAACCCCCTCAACCTCAAACTCCCTAAGCTCAGGATCGAGCTCAACTAAAGGGGGCCGAGGTACGAACTGGAGAACCTCATTCCCCCCATCCACCTCTTCCACCACTCTTCTCTTTTTCTACAGTGCCCCCAGCTTTTCACTGCCTTTCCTTCTCAGCTCTGGCCTAGGTCCCACCTCCTCCACTCCAATTGAGGTGCTGGGCACTAACTCCTTCCCAGCTCCTACCTCCCCCGCTTCCTTAGTTAAAGTCTTTGACTTCTTCCTCGACTTCTTTGGAATTGCCACCCCTAACAGCATTCAAGAATATATCCATTTCAGCTGCAAAACAATTAAAACAAAGTGTCAACAACACAACTCTATGCTTCACATCAAACACTACAATATAGCATCTAAACACACCTTCACTCAAAGCACTTGGCCCATAGAGCTCAGTAGCCTCTATACATTCTGCGCTGGTGAGGTACATTATGTTAGCTAACTTACCCCCCCTCCCTCACCAACTTCCCCACCCCCTCCTCCTCATCCTCATTTAAACTATACTTATTTTGGTTGGCTTTCTTAGCCTTCCAAGATGACAACAATTCTACTTTGGCATTCCCCCCTCTCCCACTTAGTGTCATCTACAAAGAAAACTTTTTCCTTCCATCCTTTAATGGATGAAGGACCTGTTGTAAATAAGCTCCTATTCTCTTTATTTGACACTTTAGGGGTGAAATAATACCACCCCTTGTCCTTTCTACTACCCCCTTTCATAAAAAAAAACTATTTAAACATATTTACAGTTGGCACATTAACCCCCTGAGCTCGGCAATAAACTAAAAACCCTATTATTACTCTTATAGCTTTGGGGACTAATTGTGTCAACCCTATACTATAATCTAATAATAGACCCACTAATAACTCAGGAATTGGAAACCTAAGCCCAGCTGCCAAATAATGGGCATACACGAGCATCCAATGATCCCAAGGTGCAGAACAGGCCCTCTCCTCTACCCCAGCAAGCCTAATTAGAACTCCAGAAGAAATTTCATAACTTTCAACTAAATAACCCAGGCTAGCCTTGGTCTCAAGCTCAAACTCATATTGCTTCACCTCAGATACAATATCTGCATCTACATCATAATACCGTTCCCTCCTACCCTCCACTTCTACTATAGTAATGGGTACCCTATCTCCCTCTACCCCAACTACCTCACTTCTTCCCACCCCCTCCTTCGTCCTCTCCGAGTCAAACGACTCACTGGTCATACCCATGTCACCATATTCTAACGCCCTCACTTCCTCACTTCCTCCAACGCTCACCGTTTCTTCATAAGACATCTCTTCAAAGTTTGTAACTTTCACTAAATGGAATATAGAGAGGGGAAGGAGAAAATAAAATCAGGATTTTCAGAAATTCTAACTCACACTCACCGTTACTCTCACTCCTAAACCTAACTTCCTTTAAAAGACTTAGATATAAATCAGAAAGGATGAGAGTAGAAGAAAACACACTCTAAAATCTAAATCACCCAAACTCATACGTTACCTGATCTCGATCTTGAAAGCTTGATGTAGAAGTCCACAAAGGATGCAACAGTTCAGACGCAGGAAGAACACAATAGAGTTTTGGCAGCAATTTCGTAGAAAATAGGTTAAATACCCTTTTTGGTCCCTGTACCGAAAAAATCCCTTTTTTGGTCCTTATTGTTCACAAATCCGACCCCTTTTTAGTCCTTTTGTTAAATTTTGGCTGATGTGGCAGGTTAATTAACGGAAACACTCATTCTTTTTTTATACTAAATTACATGAAAAATCCATGTGGCAAAAATTAATGACATATTAAATTTTTTACCTTTAATTACTGATATACCCTCATCTTCTTCCCCGGCTTCTCTTTCCTCCAACCTTTTCTTTTTTTCTTTTTTTTCTTTTACCTCCAAGCGAACCCAAGAGCCTAGGTTCGCAAGGAACCCAGCTCGTGGGGTTCGCGCGGAACCCAGCTGGCTTGGATTAAAACGGGGAAAACCATGGCAATCTTCATAGGAATCCATCATCAAATAATTGTTGCTGGTTAGGTTTCAGCTGTGGAATGAGTTCCGGTTGGGGCAGCCGGAGCTGTACAAGCAAGCTGATAAGGACGATCCCAAAGCTCTCCTTGATGGCGTCGATGTTGCTGGACTCGTTGGAATCTTGCGTCAATTGGGCGATCTCGCTGAGTATGTTTCTCGCGTTCTTATTTGATTTTGCTCTTCAATTTTGGGGATTGATGGTGTTTCTAGTGTTGCATGAAAAAATTTGGAAATTGATTTTTGTTTTAATGTTGAGTTTGATAGTCTGCATAGATTGAACTTTGAAGAATGTGAGGATTGATTGAATTGCAGGGGAAGAATTTAGGCAAGCTAAAGCTGTATTGTTTGTTAGTTTTTTAAAAAATTTAAGGGAATTGAATGTCTTAAGCTCTGTATGATTATTATATATTAATAAAGTATCATTCTTTCCTTTTTTGGTTAAGGAGGAAGGTAATAGATGTTTAGAATGCCTTAGGTGTTTTTGTCATAGCTATTACTCACAAAGTCGCCTACTTTATGTTTCTGTGGAATTATAAGGAGCTACTCTAATGGCAGAATTCATTCATCCTCCCTAATTTTTCTTTACTTTTTCTCGAAATGATTAAAGAAGGAAACTTTGATAATGTTAAATAAAAGACGAGTTGCTTCCTTAGATATAAATGTCTTGTTACAACTGAACATGTAATGGATTAGTTAAGCTTCATCCTGGTTAATAACATCTTTCGACTAATATTAGTGCTAAGCAGCTGAATTTCTTCCACATCCCCTCTGTCTCATATTGTATTCTTTCTTCCGTATGGAGTCTGAGAATGTAATTTCTTGCACTTCCCCAACGATCCAAGCCAATTGGGTTCCTCGCGAACCCCACGAGTTGGGTTCCTTGCGAACCCACTGGGTTCGCCTAGAGGTAAAAGAAAAAAAAGAAAAAAAAAAGGCTGGAGGAAGGAGAAGCTAGGGAAGAAGACGAGGGTATATCAGTAATTAAAAGTAAAAAATTTAACATGTCATTAATTTTTGTCACATGGATTTTCCATGTAATTTCGTAAAAAAAAAAAAAGAATAAATGTTTTTGTTAATTAACCTGCCACATCAGCCAAAATTTAACGGAAGGACTAAAAAGGGACCGAATTTGTGAACAGTAAGGACCAAAAAAGGGATTTTTTCGGTACAGGGACAAAAAAGGGCTTTTTCCTATAGTAGAGGGACCAAAAAGGGTATTTAACCTAGAAAATATAATGAAAGTAAAACTCTCTTTATAGAAATTTGGCTATATATACCTCAGACCAAAAATAAATCTCAACGGTTGTTATTAATTTAATCTGATGGTCATAATTCACACCGTTTCGAATTCAACAATACAACCCTAACGAGAACCGTTTGAATTCGATGGTTCATTTTCGACTCCGTTTGTCTAACTGTAGCAGTTACTTTTTTCAGCTCGTATTTATTGTACACGTCTTTCAACAGACAATTGTCATGTCACATACTAACTCTACGTCAGACTTTTTAAACAGGCCCACTTAAGCCCAACTCAACACTTCTGTTCACTTTCACAATAATATTTTTCAATTACAAATATTGTACCTCAGCTACAGCCACTATGACTCCGGTCATCACCTTTTTACCTTGGCTACGGCCACTATGACTCTAGTCATTACTTTTTTACCTCGGTTACGACCACTATGACTCTGGTCATTACTTTACGACGGTTACGCCACTACTACTTCGGTCATTACTTTTCACTAGTCACTACAGCTCCGGCCACTATGATTTCGGTTATCACTTTTTACTACGGCTCCGACCACTATGACTTTGGTCATCACTTCTTACTACGGCTATGGCCACACTGACTCCAGTCATTATTTTCACTATGGCTTCGACCACAATCATTTCGACACATTTTATTTTGGGAATGGTCAAAATGACCCCATGTCACATGTTCCACTATTAGTTACGGCCATACAAGAATTTGAGTTACCAATTTTTATTTTAACTTCTATAACTCATCTTTAATGTTTTCCTTCCTCTTCCTATCTATTTATGCACTACTCCCATTATCTCTAACAACATCATTCACAAGTGAATGACTTCGATGGGGGAATAGTGTAAGGATAGGTCCAAGATCCTTAACCTCGGACGTACTGTAACAATTCCTTAATAACCGAAGTGAAGTTAAATCTAGCACTTCCCTATCAAATGGCTACATGATAAATACAGTGGACATGCCCACACCTGATCTATTACACACAATTTCTCGATCCCGAATTTACTGCCTTAAGGGATACGTCACACTCCGATTATCCTGTTAAGCAAGCCACGTGGACACCTCACGAAGGCCTATAAATACCCCTCAAGGGCCACCTCAAAAAGGTAATTGAAACCAACCTAGGCTCCTTTTTTATTAGTCTAGAGGTAGATCCGATTATTGCTGACTTAAGTATCGAAGTGTCTATCCCGAGAATCCACCTCGGGGCTTTGCAAATTCATCCGAAGTGAAGACGCGGACTGAAGAAGAATCTCTGGTTTGGTGCAATTACAAGTATATTAATGTTTGCCTATAATAATTATGCATGGACTAGAGGAATCCATGAACTTAAACTTTTCCACGAAATGTTACACAAAATGAAGCAATCACTAATAAATAAGAACTCTGAGGAAAAAGTAAAAAAAAAAACGAACACACGACATTGATTACATACATATGGGAACCATAACGACTTGATTCAGCGAACCAAACCTTTGGGTAATCGTCACAAAGCAGCTAAGCCATATTTTACATGTAACATGGGAATACATGATACTATTTTAGAAAGTAAAAAATAACTATTTACAATAAGCAACCAATTTTACTACCACTGATTTAGCCTTTTATTTAGTTTGAGGAAATGGAGCGAAGTGGAGGGTAGATAACTTCTTTAACTAGATAATAACTTAATTAACTATAATAATTGTTCCTCCCCCTCGCCTCTGCTCCCTTCGTTTCACTCAAAACCAAATAGGCGAGTTTAGCCACTCACAGGAAACTCATCAATTTCATCTATCCAAGGATTAATCTCCTGCTTGGTTGGATCAACGTTTCTTAATGCCCGCAAAACGGCACTATTGCATTTAAATCCTGATCCGAATCCAATTTGCCATATTCGATCACCCTTCTGAATCCTTCCCTTGGCCTCCGAGTAAGCCAGTTCGTACCAAACAGAGCTACTGGAAGTGTTGCCGAACCGGTATAAAGTCATTCTTGATGGCTCCATATGTCGGTCGGTGAGGTCAAGGCTTTTCTGTACCTTATCCAACACTGCCTTCCCGCCAGTGTGGATGCAGAAATGCTCGAACGCCAGCTTGAAATCGGGGATGTACGGATTAACATTCATTTTTAAAACCTTTCTAGCTATAGAGGTTGCCAAGAAGAGGAGCTGCTCGGAGAGCGGGAGAACCATCCGCCCAAGTAACGTGATGTTTGCTTTTAAGGCTTCCCCGGCCACCGCTATGAGTTCTCGTCGGAGCTTCACACCGACTTCTCCCTTTTCATCCAGCTGTTAGCAGGACACATTCATCCAGAAATTTTAATTAGTGAATATACATAAATCAAAAAATTAAACACAACATATAATGTCTTAGTATTTTTAATATTTTTATAGAATCTTCAGGATCCCTCCAGTGGCCATTTTTCATCTCTACTTACTGAAGCCAACCAGCTGATAGGGACACTGCTAAAATTTAACTACGGAGCCCTAGTACTCCTAATAAGTAGAACTTTGATATAGGTATTTTTCTCTTCAACAAATTTTACAATTTATTTTTTAAAAAATATTATTATTTATTTAAAATTAAAAATAAAGAAACTTAGAGTTATAAATAATAATTATTAACAAAATCGGTTAGTATTGGTGGACGCGTTAAATATGTAGACATTCTAATTATTTTTATAAGTAATATGACTTGTTTTGATGAGTCACTTCTTCTCTTAGTAGTGGCGGAGCCAAAAAAATAATTTTAAGGATTAAAATAAAATTTTGACCAAAAAACAATGATTTTGTGTATTAATTCGAGTGACATTATCTGTTAGTCTTTAACAATGAGTTAATAGTATTTGATAACATAATATAAATATCATTAATTTAAAGATAAAAATAAACATATATTAAGTAGAACAATATACTATGAATAAAGAAAGAGAAAAGAAATATATTAATGTACATACACCTTAAAAAAATAACAATAAACAATTTTTATTCAATTAATTTTTATTTTTTCTCATATTTTATATATTATTTTTATTTTCCCCATCTTTCTTCTCTTTATCATTAAAAGTGTACTTTAACCACACAAATGCTAGAAAATGATAAAAATGATACAAATAAAATATAAAAGACCAATCTAAATTTTGCTCAAAATTTTAAGGGGGGGCATGTGCTCCTCAGGTCCCCCTCTGCCCGTGTCTATCATTGACAAAAAAATAGTGGTTTACCAACCAACAAATTCATAATAGAATTATGGTTTTCCTGTAGTGAGCTATATATCCCACTACCCCTTTAAAATATACAGGTAAAGTAATTATTGACTAGTTCCTAGCATCTATATTATTATATATAAAACCTCTTTACCTCTTGAAAGATACAGTTGTAACTCTGGTCATCGGCGCCCGTATGGGTACGGAGGGTGTGGAGGATCTGGTACTTTGAGCGTCCATGATCAGAAGATCGATTGGATAACAAAACAGCAGCTCCGCCTGTTCGAAACAGACAGTTCGCCAGCAACATGGATGCATTATTCCCAACATACCAACCGGTATTTATGTTCTCTGTGCTAACAACCAGTGCATATGAGTTGCCATTCACCTGTAAATTGAACCTAACTTGTATCACAAACGTGTGGGCATCGTTTATTAAGTACATGAATGTTAGTTTAAGTATGCACCTGTAAAAGATCATTAGCAAGGGATAGAGAAATTAGTCCAGCACTACAGCCCATGCCACCCAGATTGTAACTCAAAATATTTCCTCTAAGCTTAAAGTGATTAACCACAGCAGCGGAAAGTGAAGGCACCGGATTGAACACGCTGCTGTTCACCACAAGGATCTGAATATCTCCAGGATTCACCCCAGTTTTCTTCAGCAGCTCATCAATCACTGCAAACATCACAGTCTCAGTCTCCTTCCTGGCCTCTACCACACTCCTCCGGGCAGGAATCTCCAACAAGGCCTTCGGAGCGTACGTTTTGTTACCGAGCCCTGATCTTTCCAGAATCTTCTTCTGCAGTGCTAGACTTTCTTCAGTGAAGGCTCTGGTGGCCGCAGCGAAATGCATGTACATCTCTTTGCTGCACATTTGATCCGGTTCGGGCTTGTAACATGCATAATTCACCAGGTAGACTTTCCTCGACCCACCCAAGAAGTAAGGAGTAGCAGACAGTACGGTAGCAGTTAAGAAAAAATAAATCGTCATGAAATTAAACCTAAGATGAAGACTTAAATGAATGATATATGGGACGGAAAATGTTGCGGGATGAGTTAAGGTAATGGATAAAAGGAGAACTAATATGAGGTATAATGCATTAGAGAAAAAGAAATGATAAATACATTTTCGTTCTCTTTCAGGGGAATCTTGAACTGGAACTGAAATCGAGTCAATATTCTTGGTGTTTTGGTTCTTTTCCTTTGTCATGGTAATGCAGGAAAGTAAACTCTTAGAAGAAGAAGCTAAACAATATTTGAGAAAGGGAAAGGGGGATTTATGTATCTTCGTCTGATGCAATACTGATCTACATGGGGGAGATAACCGCCTGGATTTATAGCGGCGTTTTTTATTTTTTTATTTTTTTAAAAAGTTATATATAAGGGGTTCTTTATTTGCTTTGGTACAAAGTTTAGGAATCTGTTACATCATAAACTTGTAAAGTTAATTCTATACCCCCTCTTTTTATTTCTAATAAATTTAATTTTTTATGTAAGATATTTAATTTAAATATTTTTTTAAAATTTATTTAATATATTTATTTTTATTTTATTATTATTTTTAAAAAATAATTACAATATATAT